TACCAAGGCATTGACTGAATATGAAATAGCATATTTGAGACTGTGCACAGAATGTCTGATTTCAAGGGTTCCCAGCCTTATAATGAGTAAATAAAAATTGTCACTTTCTGGCAAGCCCAAGGATTTTAAGACTGTAAGTAAAATCTAAATCCTGCCTTTGTTTGACTTTCTAGCCTCAAGAGTTTTTTAAAATCTGAGATTCCAATGTAATAAAATTAGAGAGAAAAGTTTATGTTTCTAAAGAAAAAGTATAATACATCTATTATTAGATTGTAGCCCTATGCATTATTTTCAAGTTTTTTTATCTGCTTATAGACAGGACTGGGTCCTGGATTCTCCTACTATCTTCCAATATTTGGCTACAACTCTCTAACTAAAAACAAAAAATGCTCTGTATCTATAACCATATAAGTTGAAACTAGATAAATTTTAAGGAATAAGCCTCCTGCCTAATGTATGAGCCACACAAGAAGCTCACCAAACTGCCCAATGTCATGACCAGAGATGTTCAAACTGCAAACCAGGAGGAAAAGTTGATGTTTTCACACTGTATACAGCTTTTCCCAAGATACTGAATAAGCCTCCATATAATAATGAGACTCTTACCTTACTTATTGCTGCCTTTTCACTTGACAGGATGATGGTGTAACTGAAATTTTACAATCACTAGCTTTTGCTGGTAACTTAACAGAACCTAACCTAAGAAGTCTGTTAGTATCCATTGGTTAAATAAGAAAATATCTGTGCTATTGCTCATACTACGTGCTATACTTAGATAAATTCCTCTGTGAAAGTTGAGACCCAAATACATGAGATAAGAAAACAGGCCATATGGTTACAGCAGTTCTCACCTAGTTTTCTACTGGTTATCTATTTTCTATTAGTTGCCTAGGTTCAATGGGTTGCCTTTAAGCCTAGGTTCACGGCTCAAAACCATTATGCAAACTAGAATTGTCATATTACTATTCATTCTACTTTGTATTTTCTCTTTTTAAACTTTGTATCTGCTGCTTGTTAGACTTTTTTGCAGAAGTACAACTCCTAACAAAATGATGCCAGCCCAGAAATTTGTGATAAAAGCAAAAGACTGTGAACAGACAAAATTGAACTTATTAATGGACTCCAGGTAGACTTAGCCTAGAGCTACTCCCCTCAAACCTGCTCTGTTGCTCAAATGTGGCTAAAAGAGTTTTGACACTGACTCCTAGTTGCCAGTCATTCCCCACACTGTGACATGAGACCAGGCTCCAGGATAGTGTCATCCTGGCACCCTAAGGCATCAAAATTTAACTACAGGATGATTGACTAGTAATGCTTTTGAAGAAAGACCTTGATCAAAAGGAGGAAATGTGAAAGTTGCCAGAATCAACATGCAGTCACTGATGTTAAAAATACCCTGAAAAATAGAGGCAGGGAAAGCTATGAAGAGAGGGTTCTCACACATGTGTGCCTGATAACAAAAACTATTACAAAAGATGCTGCAAAAACCATAACCATGCACAAAGGCCATTACAACCCTATACCAAAAATACTTCTGCAAGAACATCTACCCAGCAAGTGCCTATGCAACTCAAGACTAGCATCACCATTGTTATCAATCTTTGCAGCCAAAGATAATTGTTTCAAAACAATTATGTAATCCTCCTCATTTTTTCGTTTACAAACATTAGTCTTCCTTTACCTCCCTGAATGCATACATAATTTACTATGGCACGTGTATTTCCATTGCAATGCTCTATTCCCAAATAAATATGTTTTCTTTTAGAGAGCCTTTATCTGTTTGTTATTTAGGTTGACACAAAGGTAAATATTCATATAGCTCATTAATTTCACTCAGAGTTATTTATCCAGTTGAAATGAAAACATATGTTCACATAAGACTTATTAGATATAAAGATCCTTAGCAGCTTTGTTTGAAATAGCTAAAAACTGGAGAGATGAAAAGACATACAAAGTAGGTAAGAGGATAAATAAATGTTGGTATATTCATATACAATTCAACAACAACAACAAAATTAACTACTGATAAACACTAAAATATATTTAGCCCAACAATATTGTAATAGGCAAACGAGCCAGGCTTAAAAGAGTATATTCTGCATTATTCTATTTTTGGGATCTCTAAGAGGACAAATATAATTTATAGTGACATAAAACATCAGTGGTTGTCTGCAGCCAGGGGTAAAGAGAATTTTGTTTACAAGGGAGGGATTGTTAAAACAAAATAAATTGTGCAACACTTGGAAATAGGCAAATGGAGGATTGCATGTCCTTTCAATGTCATCTGAGGGTATTATGTAAGAGGCTTATCTAATAAGGATTATCTATCCCCCTAGAGGGATGTACCTTTGATTATAGTATTTTACAACTCTGTAAGGGTAGGTATTGAAGAGTGGAAAACTGATAGCTATGCAGATGATTTTATTTCTATAGCAGGGCAGATTAATTTTGTCCTATAGATACACAAATGATCTTTATCCCATAGAATACCTCGCATGCCCTGTAGGGCATTGGAATTTTTTTGTATATAATTTAGAAATCTTAATATAGCATTCTATGGCTATAAATGCTTTCTACTCTATAGTTTCTTTTTAAAATCAGTTTTATAATCCTGTTGGCTATACCAAAAATAAGTTAAATATACCTTTGGTATATACACATTTTTTAAAAAATATATTAATAGTTTCCTCCAAAGATTCCTGTGGGTTAAAATATTTAAATTTACATCTTATCTCTACTTCACATTCTGGTAAATGTACCTACCTTGTCCTTGGTCCTATAAATGCATAGCTGCTAAGCTTCTGTTGCTCTTGGATCCCTAAGGAAATTGGGGAACCTATCTCACCGGCAGCATTTCGTATGGTCATCACTGGGCTTTTCCAGGGCATTGGTGCTCAATGCCTTAATTAAGGAGGATCCTCTAGGTCTCCCTGGAATATATAATGGATGGGGATGCACAGGTCATACATGATCAATTTTCCAACATCCCATTTCCTTAAACCTTTGAATTTCTTCCTTCACACTAAGCTGGGACGTTTGAGCATATCAACCTCCTTCAATTACAATTTCAATCACCAACAAAACAAAAAAAGCTATTTCCAGCTGTATAAGTTAGCATATAAGATCTAAAACATCTTATAATTTTAACCATTTTGAAAAATTGGTCCGGTGTGTTATAGTCTATCCTTCTTGGTCTAACACACTTAGAACACACTTCCACACCTATTCATCAGGTATCTGCAATATATATCAGAAAAATGTTGCAATTCTTTTGGTGAATAAGCTATTTCCTCCCTATTCAGACCTTTATGTATCCCTCTGGAGCATGCTGATAAGTGACCATAGTTAGAAATCCAGTGGCAAAAAAAAATGCTTGAGGTGTGTGGTAGAGAAGATAATGGTCCTCCAATGATCCCATGTTTTAATTGCCAGAATCTATGAATATATTATCTTACATGGCAAAAGGGATTTTGCAGATGTGATTAAATTAAGGACCTTAAAATGCTTATTCTGAATTATTCCAGTAGGTTCAATGTAATCATAATGGTCCTTAAAAGTGGACAAGGGAGGCAGAAAGGAGAGGTCAGCATGCAATGGAAGAAGAACTTGACCCCTGTTGCTAGTTTGGAAGGCAGAGGAAGGGGACCATGAGCAATGACATGCAAGCAGCCTCTAGAATCAGGAAAAGGCAAGAAATGGATTCTCTCCTAGAGCCTTGAGAAGAGAATACAGCCCTGCTGACACTGATTTTAGCCCAGTGAGATCAGTATTGAATTTCTAACCTGGAAAACTGCACATTTGTGTTGTTTTAAGCCACAAAATTTGAGATAGCATTTTATGATAGCAACAGGAAATCAGCTCAGTGTGAGGAGAGTAGGCATCCCATTACGAGGAACTGCCTTATGTGCAAATGTTAGAAGGGGTTCAGGAAAGAGGAGGATGGTCTCCTTAGACCCAGGAACAGGAACTCTTTCTATTGGCAAAGAGTATCTGAAAGATTCTTATCTCAAGTCAACCTAGTTTGGGGTCCCACTCCTTCCCAATCAGGGACTTGGAAAGTCAGTGTGTTTAGTTCATCGTATAATTCTGCAAACTGCTCAGTTAAAATTTCCATCTGGTTTCCAGCAAAACCATACCAGAAATAACTACCAGAAAGAAGCATTCTTTTAGTACAACCATAAAAAATTTTCTAGCATCATTAAATAGGGTAATAAGGTAGCAGCTTGAGAAAAATGGGTTAAAGAAAAGTTATTTTTATTAGCAATTTTAACATATTATATCAACACACAAATAAGTAAAAAGGGGGGTAGCAGGGAAGCACAATGGAGCTCTGCAGCCCAGTCCCTAAGAGGCCAGGGACCAATATTGTTCCTTGGCTCAGGGATTGGAGACCACAGATCTAGAGCTCAGATGCAAAGATTAATAACTGAGACAAAGGATAGAAAAATACAAATGTGACATGATGAATTTGTTTGCATGGTGGCAGGAAATTGAAGGGCTTTTCTGAACTTTCATTTTTCTCTCCAAATAAAGTGATGAAATCACCTACTAAGAAAATAAGAAAAGAGGAAGGATTAAAACAATGAGGAAGATAGAAAAATTTGCTATAATTAGATGAGAGATATAATTAATTAGGAATCTATAAAAGGGATTTTTAGGAAATGGTAAGGGTCTAATTTTGATCAAAGAATATAAATTTGGGGCTGTAGGATTTTTTTCTAACAGTGTTCAGTAGCCCACATATAAGTGAGATAGGGAAGCCAAGAGAATTAATACAGGCTTGTAAGTCAGGCATTTCTCAATATTGTAGCCAAATATTGTGGCCAAGCTTCCAAACACTTTTCCTATTTGGGGGAAAATTCTCATTTTGTGTGGTGGATAGTACTCACTGTCTCACCTCCCACTACAGAAGATGAAGAAAAGAGAACTTCCTTACCTCATTCTTAAAATCAGGATATAATTGTTTGAACCAGGTTCGGTCTAACATGCACTCCACCTGAGACTTTGAACCTTGAGAAAGTGTCAGTGTACTAACCAGATGTCCATGTGGTCTGATCCTACTCACAGGTTCTTTATAGAATTTCTCTAGGTGCCAGCCTAATGCCTGATCTTTGTTCTCCTGTCTTCCTACCTACTTTGTGAGCGACCTGGTAAATATCCTTCTAATATTAATATATATATATTCCTTTCTACTCTAATGAGTCTGAAGCAGTTTCTGTCACTTGCAACAAAGATTCCTGATGGATACTGGCATGTTTTTACCCAGCAGATGAGATGGGAGGAGAATTTGATGTGAGATTGAAGACACTGGAAAGAAAGTAAAGTAATAAACCAGAAAATCTAAATCTACCCTGAGTAAGAATGCATGTGAAGGCAGGGACAGGCAAAGGAGGAAAATGAGAGGATCAGATGCTGGGACTCCATTGAGGACACAGAACAGACAAGGTAGAGGAACTACGTGAGAAAGTGGTATAAGGAGGTTGTGGGCAGAAATTGGGATTTGAAACCAAATGTTTCAGACATGGATAAGTCCTTTGTGGTAACATTTTTAGGATATGACAATATGACTGAGGAAATGAAGATGAGTAGAGATAAAAGCACAAGAAACTGACAAATTCCAATGTTGCATAAATCAGCCAAGTTTGTCACAGTCACCAAGAATGATGGCAGGGATATGGTGAAAAGTAGAAAACTGTAATTCATATATTGAAATCCTCATTGAATGGAAAGACTGAGAAGCCTGTTTACAAAAGAAATAAGGAAGGTGGCTTGTAGTCATGGTAAAGGTCTCAAAACAAGGCAAGGTATTAATTATTTTACATGATGCCAGCAGAGTAATGGTTTATAAACCAAAGAGGACAGTCCTGTTACCTGATGGCAATGTTCTAGGACAGCATTAGCAGTGTCATCAGGAGAGGCAAAGAACTAAAGGAAATGCTCAGTTGAAAAATGGTATATTTCATAAATAAGTTTGAAATAAAATTTTTAAAAAAATTTTTAAAGATTTCTGCTTTGTGGAACCTGGAAACCTTCGGTTTTGCAGTTTATTTTCTTAAAATAAGAGGTAGATTTGGTTTGAAATATCTGAGATCATAACATGAGTCTTTAGGGGAAAGAAAAGACAGATTGCCATTGGCGTGAAGCTGTAGGATACAAATACAGTACATAAAACATTGTTCTAATCCTGGGGATGTTTACATTCTGGTACATTCTTATATTTTTTCGAATTACTACTTGAGTGTGTTCTTTTTAAAAATATAGTTTTCCCTAGCAATAAAATATCCTAGATTACATGAAATACACACTTAAAAATTTAAAAAGTGTGTATCCAGAAAGAAAAGTTTTTTTTGTCCCTTTTTTGGGTCTTTTTTTTATGTGTTTTTTTTTTTTTTTTTTTAGTTTTTTTTTTCCATTTTTCTTTTTGTTTTATTTTTTTTTTTTTCGTTTTGAAAGTTTTTTTTCCGGCAGTTTTTCCGGGGGTTGTTCTGGGGGCCAACCCAGGGGGCACGTGGGGAGTTGGTGAATCAAAGTTTATTGTCAGGTGGGCTCAGAGGGGTCTCGCCACCAAATTCTGAGCCCTATCTACTTGATTTTTCCCACTTTTATTAAGTTGGGGTAGTGTGAGGGGTGGGTTTTCAGGTTGCTAATGCCCGCCAGGTAATAGTTAGTATTATGTCAATGCACCAGGTAACAGGTTAGTTGCTGGGCCAGGTACTAGGTTAGTGTTGTGCTGATGCGTGTCTTCTGGTGGGGCTCTCAGGTGCCTGATGCGCCAAGTAATAGATGCAGGTTTTACTTATCAGTATCAGTGTGCTAAATGGTCCTAGTTTATTTTTTTCCACTCCCAGGGATCAAATAAAAAATAAGTCCATTCCTTCTAATTAAAACAGAAAAATTAAGTTTATTTAATTTTTAGCATTTAAGCATTTAGTACTGATTTGAAATCCAACCAAGGAGGGGGAAACTCCCCTATTTCTTTTGCAGTAGCACATAGATAGTGAAGTCAGGGACTGCGTGTGGCTGTGGGAAGGCTGGCGTTCCTGTAAGCTAGGGATTTTTTAGGCCACTCCCAGTTCCAAGAGCCATTTAAATAATCGTCGTTTCTGCCTGTCAAGCAAGATAGTTGTTAGCCTCTGTGAGTATTTCCCTAATAGCTCCACCAATCATTTTTATCTCTGCTGCCAACCTGAGCTTTCATTAGCAAGTGTGAAAAATGCTCAAGAAGCAACAGAAAGGGGAACTGAACCAATTCAATCTTTTGGACGAGTTTTTGCTTATATCCGGTGAGAACTGTTATATTACTAAGGCAGATTTTGAAAGTCACTACTTAACTAATATTATTTCTCCCTCTTACTAAAATGGCAACTTCTTTTCTTCCGGTTTTCAAGCCAAAATTCATGGAGTCATCTTAGCTTTTCTTCCTCTGGCATTCCACATCCAAAACATTAGCTGGTTTACCTTTGAAACGGATTGAGAATCTGACCCCTCCACAGATGCCACATGGCATCATTTCTTGCCTGCTTCTACATTAGTTCCATGGTAGTCTGTTCTTTACACCACACACATAGTACTGCACTATGTTGTTAAGACATAAGCCTGATCATGTTCTTCCTCAATTCAAAACCATCCAGTATATGCCCATTTTATAGAGAATAAAATCCGAAATCCTTACTGGGCACACAAAGCTCTACCTGACCTGGCTCCTGACATCTCCTCAGACCACATGTCCTCTCACTCTCCTGTCACAGTGCTCCTGCCACATCGCTTCTCAGTAATTCTGCAAGCATACAAAGCAAGCTCCTCCCTGGGCCTGAAACATTCTTCCTTTCAATATTGGCTTGGTTCACTCCTTCACTTTATATCTCTACTTAAATGTCACTGCACCAGAGAGGCATTCCCTGACTAGCTAAAATAGCACCCCTGTGAAATTCTCTGTCCCCTTTCTTGCTTTGTTTTTTATTAGCCCTTACCACCAAACACACACACACACATATGTAAACATGTATATGTTAATATAGTGTATGTGTATATATATGAAGACACACACACACACATACACGTATATGTGTGTGTATAAAATCTTTACCAACTGGACTATAAATCTCTAAGTTCCAACCAGACTATAAATTCCACGAGAGCAAAGACTGTTTTATTGATGGCTCTGTGCTTATGACTTAGGACAATGTTTAGCACATAGCAGGTACTCAGTTAATATTTTTTTAAATAAATGAGTGAATTCATACTAAGAGAATATAATTCTGTTAAGAGTTTATATACATACATATTTAATAGACAAAAAGAAAGTTCAAGAGATACAAAAAAAATTAGAGTATCTTTCAAAATCTAGAAATTACATTGATGGCCATAAAAGAATTTACATTGTGAGTAGAATGAGTTATTTTGATCTGACTAGATTGTCTCTGATTCACACTCGACAAGCAGGTGCCTTGAACAGGCAATGACAAATCCAAGCTGCATAACAATGCTTTTTTCACCCACTTGTCTCTAGTACCAGAAAAGTAATGTACACTATCAGTGGAGCTGTCCCCTGAGATTATCCTCCTAGCAGTAGCACTGTCTGAACTTACGAAATTAGTGAAACCCAGGGATAGAAATGTAAACCAGACTGGTTGGATGAGTTAATTAGAATTAATCATTAGGGCAAGAGCTCTGACATTTTCATCCTTGATTAAACATTCTAACAATGTGTTCCAAACCCTAAATTAATAAAAGACGATGAGAACTGTTTAAAGATAGGTAAAACTCTATTTGATACCTCTGAGTTTGTCAGGAAGCATCAAACTAGGAATATCTCAGGCAATTCATATTTGAATATTTCTCTGCCAGAGACCCTCTGTTTTACAACAGTTAAAGGAAATCAGTTTTGTTAAAAAATAGTTTAAAGAATCCACATGCATTTGTTAACTTAAGTGATAAATCATTACTGACGCTAAGATAAGTTTATGGAAACTATAGTAAAACCCAATGTATTAGAAAGAGCACTGCATTTGAAAATGGGAGACATAATCTTCGATTCTATCTCCTCACCTAATTTTCTGGACAATGTTGGGCAAAAGTGACTTTCCATTGCCTCATTAAAAAAAAGTTTATGTTAGATACAAGATCCTTAATAGAGGAAAACAGATATCAGAATTATCTGGAGGACTTTATCAAACTACCCATGCCTCTCTATAGTCTTCTAGTTTTTCAACAAGATTATAAACTTCCACCCTTTGGGAACCACTCTAGTGGTTACCTATAGGAGTTGGTTGTTTACCTCAGGTATGTTGAATGAGAGAAAATGAGTGTGAACCATAAGAAAAATGATCCTTTTCAGCCCTCAAATTTGACTTGTTGTACAGAAATAAATTATAGAGAAAACTTTAGAATGTACAAAATTATCAAGAAGGTATCCATCTCAGAAAGAGGATTGCTAATGTTCCTGTGAAAACTGTCCACCATCATCAGCTATCTTCCTGGTTTATGCACTCCAGTTACAAGTATTTCCTCAGATTCCATGCAGCCATTGTTCCTGCTATAATTAAAAATCTCTATTGTCCCATAAAACAGAATATGTACTTAAAGTACTCAAAAATTCTTCTTATTTTACTTGAAAGCATTTCTCAATTCTTTTTTCTATCCCCTTTTTTAATGATAATATTCTCTTGGAAGACTGGCCTCAGATCTAAATTTATCAGTGGGTTCTCATTAGTTCTGAATACAAAAAATGAGTTTTTTAGGTAGCAGCTTATTTGTTCTTAATTCCAATAATGTTCTGTTTGATTTCCAGATTTACTGCTTGCTTTAAAATGGGCAAGTTGAGATGTGTGGTATGTGATTTGGAGAGACACACTGTGGTGTGCATAATTTTGTGGCTAAAAGACCTATTTATGGGTATTTTTTTTTTTTGAGACAGAGTCTCACTCTGTTGCCCAGGCTAGAGTGCTGTGGCATTAGCCTAGCTCACAGCAACCTCAAACTCCTGGGCTCCAGCGATCCTCCTGCCTCAGCCTCCTGAGTAGCTGGGACTACAGGCATGCGCCACCATACCCGGCTAATTTTTTCTATATATTTTTAATTGGCCAATTAATTTCTTTCGATTTTTAGTAGAGACAGGGTCTCGCTCTTGCTCCGGCTGGTTTTGAACTCCTGACCTTGAGCAATCCACCTGCCTCGGCCTCCCAGAGTGTTAGGATTACAGGCGTGAGCCACCACACCCAGCCTTATGACTGGTTTTAATCATGTTTTTTATTAGGATCTTTCACTAAAGTTTTAGAATATAAGACTATAAGTGATTATTTGAAATTTCTAAATATTCCAAGAAAATTCTTTAGTTTTTAAAAACAACAAAAAAAATGTTTTTCAATTATTAAGACCAGTTAGCAAATAATCACAATATCCACATGCGAAGGGTCCCAACAAGCAGGAAGTGTTTCTCTAAACAT